GCCTTCTTAAGTGTGTTATTCTCATTGAGCTTCTCAGGAGGCAGTCCGGACCCCATTAGGTACACGTGTAGGAACTCTGTGTATGTGAAAGGAGAGATGTTGTCTGCTGTTCGCAATTATTTTAAAAGAGTGGCTTATCTAGTTTACTCTTCATGTTTCTAATGCATTCTTTGTTGCTTTTTTCCCCCAGATATTGAAAGGTACAGTAAAAAATACATGCAGGTGTACAAAGAAGAGTGGATACCAGGTATGACAAAACAGGTAGTGTTAAATACTTCTGAAAGCCTGTCTCCCTACCCCGTATTATTTTAGGATAAGTTTTCTGTTCTCACTGTAGGAAAAAATGTCTGGTACTTTTCCTGTAATTAACAAATAATCTTTTGAAAACTGAGAAGAGAAGATTTTTATAAGGGAACGAAAAGAACATGTTTGTAGAAGTTTTTAAAGTACAGTTTTTGTAAAAATAGGAGTTGCCATAGCTTTTGGCTTCCTAATTTTACTAGCCACAATCACAGTCTTAATTTCTGATAGCAAAGAGCAGTTTCTTCTTTGCTCCTGAGCAGTTGCGAAGCTTTTCAGTCTAGTTGGAAGGATAGCTTGAGCACGGCTTGCATGCGCTCTTTCTTTCAAGCAGACATAGCCTAGTTTTCGTGCTACCGTGCATGCCCGTAGCAAGTTCTGTTTTCAACATTCACACGTTTCACCACAGATCCAGGGAGGGCTGAAGGACCTTGGAGGAGACCTCATCTGGCCCAACCACTTTGCAGAAAAAAAACAGCTCCGCAGAACTGAAGGGGCCATCAGGGCCCCTGCCAACATGCTAGAACTTGGGTCTCCTCCTTCAAATTCCCATTTCCTGTATGTCTCTGCCTTGGGGCTTCTAGACACTGCCCCCGTGGAAACACTTCAGGATGTAAGCCACAGCATCGCTTTCCCAGCTCACAGCGCTGACCTCACTGGTGGTTGCAGATAACATTGGGGCCCATGGAAACGCTCCTGGGTCCCTCATGTTCTGCTGCTTCATTAATAGTCACCTCCCAGATGACTCTGTGACATATTTATGATTTTCTATAATAATTTATCAAGCTAACTATATTCAAAGCAAAATTTCTTTGCTCAGCTAAAGTGACTTAGATTTAACTGTTTTCTACAAATATACTGAACGTTTTTTATTAAAGTCTTTATTATATTCAATTTTCTTCTTTCTGTACACTTGAGTGTAGGGGCTGGGAATGTATTTGATGTGATCAAAATATATGGTAAATGTTCACATAAGTAATTGATCACCGGAAAAGGAATCTTGCCATTCATCTTCTTGAAAATACTCCCCTTGTTTCAAACACATTCATCTCTTCATTCTTGCCGCTTTCTGAAGCACTGAGGAAGTCCTCTTTCATACCTTCATAGCCTGTGTTCAAAAAAGTACGCTGAGTGCGGCTGCCAGGTGCCATGTGAAAGAAGGGCATGCTTGCACGCAGGTGATGGTGCGTCCTCATCCACCTTAGTCTCCGGATCTGGCACGGGGCCACTTCCGGCTCTTCCTGAGAGTCAGAATGACCTTGAGAGGTAGGAGTTACTCAGCAGTTCAGGACATGAGGGCGCTGCAACAGGGCACGAAAAACACTTGCGAAAGAAGGACTTCCAGGAAGTGGCACAAATGGGGGGCTCAGTGTGTTTGCAGGCGGGCGAGGGGCTGTTACGGCAAGGTGTCCTTTTCTGTGTAATAAATTTAAAAATGAACACTCACCGTGGGTTTTGATCACACCCTGCATAGCTCAGTGATAGAATGCTTGTCTGACGTGTGTGAGGTGCTGGGTACTCAGGCACCTTTGGCCACCAAAAAAAAAACTAGCGTGAAAAATTAGAGGAATCGATTTTAGCTAATGCAGGCAAAAATCATTTCTTTGGGGGGGAGGAATTTATTCTTCCAGAGCTAGTAATAGTTTGAATTTTGAGACTTTCAGAACATTATTACAAGTTTTTATTTCATTTTCAGATGTGTTTGTAGTCACATGCTTTTAACTTTTGGAACAGAAATGCTGTTACATAAGAAATGTATATCAACTATAGCAAACTTACAAAGTAGTCAGATAAGAAAGTAGTTAAATAATATTTAACAAAAACAGTTGTGACACTAAGTTGTGTAACACAGGAATTACCCTCAGACTGCATCCCAGAAAACATTTTTGCATTCTTTCAAGACAGTTCTAATGAACTTTTTCTTTATTGGAGAAAATATAATACTGCCTATTATGTTTGTTTTATTTCAGCCTAAATCTGTATAGTCAGGTGCTAAGAAATAGCATCATTGGACGGACAACTGCTATTACGTTTTTTAAATAGTTTTATCTGCTCCCACTGATTGCTACAGGAAACTGAAAGTTTTGTATTTCTTCTTTTGTACGCATAGACTGGAGAAGACTCCCAAGAGAGATGATGCCAAGAAAAAAATGCAGAAAAGGTACGTTGACTAAGGTCGCAGTGCCGGTAGGGAGAGGAATTGCTGAAATTCGTGGGTGTGGCTATGGGGCCCGAACTCAGGCTTTACACATGCCGTGCGGGCACCGCCACTCAGCTGCATCTCCAACCTTTTTAAAGAGTTACTTTGAGACAGCATCTCACTAAGATGCCCAGGGAGCCCTGAATGGGTGATCCTCCTGCTTCAGCCTCCCAGGTAGCTAGGTAAATGACTACACCTGGCTTCAGTTCTGTTCATATAAATTGTCAACCTGAAGTTACTTCCTATTTTTTCTTAAAATCTGTCTGACATTTTAATTATTTTGCGGGAGTTTGGTAGATTTTTTGCTGTTAGGATTTTGGGGCTGTTTCTTAAGTTACCCTTTCTTTAACTCCGGAGAGCTGCTGAGCTGGGATTTTGCAGTACTGTAGGCTTCTTCATCTCATCTGCAAAAGTTTTTGTGATACTGGGTACATTCTACATTATCAACTAAAACATTTTAAAATCAGGGAACTGGTAAAATAGAACTTCCTATTGTATATAAAAGAGCAAAGTGAATGTTTATGTAAATAGCCGAGCACCTGAGTGCCAGACCCCGCGCGGAGGGGAGCAGAGCAGGGCACAGCGTGGGGCCGTCCTTGTTCCCCGCCCGACAGCCTGGCGAGGGTTCTCCGACGAAGTGGGTTTGGAGTCCAGGCTGAAGGAGGAGTGGAGAGGCCGCTGCGGGCGGGAGAAGGAGGGACGTGGGAAAGTGGCCAGATCGGGGCGGGAAGGCTGATGGAGCTGGCTCAGAGGTGCTCTGTTTGTTCGAGATCCGCACGCTGAGTGTGCTGGACACAGGTGCAGGGACCCGAGGTGGAGGTGTGACCCTTGGCAGCGAGGACCGTGGAGGCTGCGCAGAGGGATGAAACTGGAGAAGTGGAGGGAAAGCGAGCCCGGGCTTGGAGGGATGCCAGAGTCTAATGGGCTGGCAGGGGGCGCTGAACCAGCAAAGAAAGGAAAAAAGTAGAAAGTGAGGAGGAGGAGGGCGGGTTACAGAGTAAGAGGGCACACACAGCTTGGAGAGCGTTTGGAAGGCGGGCGGCAGGGTTAAGGAGATCACACAGCGTCGCCAAGTGGTCGAGCCCACGGAAGAGTGGAAGATGCTCCTTTTTTTACATTGCTCGTTGGTGTCCTTAGGAAGAGCTTTGTGAAGGATTTGCAGGGGCAGACTCTAGGTTGAAATGCATCAGACAGTACATGGGAGCCTTCAGGGTGCCAGAATTTCCATTTGTTAAGGAGCAACCCGAGAGATGGCGGGAGCGGAGCGGGACTTAGAAAGAATCAAGGTGCGTCGCGGCCACGTGCCAGCTCCCCACGATGAGCGCAATCGTGATGACCCGGCAGAGTTTTACAAAGCGGCAACAGCAGGCTTTCCCCCAGCCTGTTCTCATACTGCTGTTGTATCAAAGCCAGTATAAGGTTGATTCTTGAAGAACCAGTTGCTGACAGACATTGAAAGCAACTAAAAACGTCAAATATATGTATATATTTGGGTAAAGATAGAAGAAAAAATCATGCCAATATTTTGGGGTTCAGATAATCTTTTAGCAGTTTCGGTGACTTTGACACTTGTCCCCTGATTATATATGTAAAGATTGGGTGTTATGTAAAACCTACATACTAAGTAGCAGAGAATGCTGAGTGGCCTTCTATCTTCATCTGACCTTTTGTTAAAAAATTAGTAATTTTTCTAAGTATATTTTCCTAACCATCGTGTAGAGTATCTACTTAACAGGCTTATACATTATGAAATTAAATAATTTAGTAAAGGTCCTTAGAGAGAAAGACTTAGTCATGTGAATGAATTACATTCTTAGCTAATAGTTTTAGGGATCAGTTTTACAATATTATTGAGATCTTATTTGATATGTTGCCGTATTTTTTATGCTCATATGAAGCAGTCTTGGCCCTCACAGCGGGCAGAGGAAGTTACCCATCATTCCCTGTGTCCCTCTGCCTGAGCAGACCTGCCTAATACATGTTTAGGAGCTCCCTGTGAGGGCTCCTCCAGGAGCAGTTGTGTAGCACAGCAAAGTGTAATTCCGTCAGTTACGGGTCATCCAGCACAACCTAAACAGTTCTTCTTCTGAAGGTTAAATGTTAATCTCTAACAAAATTACATCTTCGCGGGCCATATTTTCCTCTGTTATGAAGTAATTTCTAGGTATTTAATTTGATTTTGGAATAGAACTATAATACTTCCTGACCATAATGGGACAATTTTGTAGTATATCATAATGCTTTGGTAACTGACTGGCAGAATCCATATATGAAATATTCCCTCAGTTTCAGAGTAGCCTTAAAAAGTAATATTTCTGATATGGGTAAAACAGATTATAGATCCCAAAGGCATTAAAACATTTTATTTCATTTGTGCTGCTTTGAGTTTTGAGATTTATATGATGAACGTGCTCAGCTTAACTATTTTCACCTCCACTCCAAAGATAGTTCTTTGTTGCAGTGAATATTATTCTTTTTCGTCAGTCTTACTATTAGCAAGTTCATGTTTTTCCTCAACTTCTTTTTTATTTTCCAAATCTCGTCAACATTGTTTTGATGAAAGTGAGCCAACAGGAAGCCAATGCGATAGATTTGTGGGAGCCTTTCCTCCCGCAGTCCTCGAGTAGCGCTGCGTATGTTAACACCTTAGCAGTTTAGTGTCTAATGATATTAATTGGCAGCACAAATTTATATCACTTCCTAAAAATACATCTGCCTGTAGTCACAAGCAACACCTTTGAAGCAGTTATCATTTGCTCCCTGGAAACCCGTGAGGTGTTTCATTTTGTTTATTTTGTTATTTGAGAAAGTTAATTCATTTGCAGAACTATGTGGCTACCTGGTATGACATACATTGAGCTAAGCAGCATATAAACAGGCATGAAAGCATAATCACTGTTGCCATTACAGAAAAACATGCTAACTGGTGGTTTTATTTCAGCAGACCCAAAATCCAAAAAGGCCAAAGGTACAGACAAAGTCTCTTCGCTCATTAATACTGCAGATGTGTTGAAAAAAATTGAGGTAAGGCTTTCCTGTTAGTATAAAAGTGAACTGGAAAAGTCTAAAACTTCATATTTCTTTTGCCTTCTTACTTCAATTTTCAAGCGAACATGCCGTGTTTCCAAAAATCTCATTTTCCCCCGTTGGTATATGCATATTTAAAAAAAATTTTTTTAGGGTTCTCTGTCTTATGGTATGTATGAAAGACTATATTGAGGGAAAAGTTTTGTCTTATGAGTCTGTTTTTATCTAAATACTTCAAAAAGAAACATAAAATTCAAATGGTTACTACACTGGACCCCCCCATCCCATCCCTAACCCGGCCATTTATTCCCTTTGGAGGCGACCAGCATTACCACTTCTTACATACACTTGCAGAAACATTTTATGCCTAAGAAACAGAGGATTTGTCCTTTTTGATGATAAAAGGCAACAGATCACACGCCACATTTTCACTCTATCACTTAACAAAGTATCTTGGAGATAGTTTCATATCAGGCTATTGAGTTGCCTCGTTCCTGTTTTGGCTGCACTGTAAGAAGCAGCATAATTTACGGAATGACTGTGCCACTGGTGGACATTGTTTCCTCTCGCGCTTTGCTGCTGTCAGCAGTGCTGCAGTGCATTCATGTGAAGTGTCATTTCGCACAAGGAGGGTAGATTCCTAGAAGCGGGTTTATGGGTCGGTTTTGTGCACCGCATAAAAGGCATCGGCATCATCACGTTGCTTCCCAGGGAGGTTATACCAGCTTCCTCCCGTTTTCAGCGTGTGTGTTACCTGGCGTTGACAGTTAAGGCCGATTGGGAACTCTGTGCCAGGCTCTTTGATGCGCTCTTAGCATCCCCCAGGTCCTTAGGAGTTGGTAGCAACAGAGAGATAGGTGCTGTTATTCCTTACATACAGAGGATGAAGTCACAGCTTTAAAATGTTTACTTGCTAGCCTAGTGTGGCACAGCCGCTTGATGGCAGGAACTCTTTTTTTGTGCCCTTTTATTTTTTGACCACTGCTTGGGCTGGAGATAGCATTTCTGGAAAATAAAGCCAAAGGATTGATGAAAGAATTCCAGTAACTGTCACTTTTGACAGTGGCAGAATGATAAGTGGGCTTTCAGGACAGGCCAGGTTCTGCTTGTTGAACACATGTTCTGGCCGCTGCAAAAGCCTCCTGCCGAAAACTGATGAGTGTAAGGCATTGTGAGGAAGATGAATCTGCACCTTTGGGTGTGGTTTCTCCTCAACAAATTGTATTTTTTCATTCCTTCCACTTAATACCCTTTTAGGACACTGTTAAAAGTGGGTTTTGATATCTGGGAATGTCAGTGAGTCAGCAGTTCTAGTAGAGCAGAAGTTGTTTGTGAATGGTTGCATGATTGTTCACCTCCAAAGCAGAAGAAACTGATTAAAGTTCATTTCTACAGCAGAAGAAGTTTATTAAAGTGTTCCTATAATAGAACATCTCTGAATGGAGAAATAGCAACATACCTCCAAATCACACGAGTAATCAGACAGTAGGAAATGAACGTGGGAGCTTCTTATTTCTGCATAGCATACAATCTGTAAAGTAATAAGCTCAGATAGTTCAGTCTCACAGAAGAGAAAACAGACTACTAAATGGAAGAGCTGAAACTAGCTTACTATAAAGAGAAAGAAGTAACGAGGTAAAATGTGTGTGTCTGACATCATTTCTTTTAAGAAAATTACCTAAGTCTGTTAATTCAAGTATTTTATGGTTTTGATTAGAGTCTGTAGTAGAAATAAAGATGAGGTTATTAATTTAAATATTTAAAGTGGCGACAGTAGAAATATAGGCATAGTAGTCCCTCTTCACACTGAATTCTGTTACAATTTTATATAACTGATTTAAATATGAAATAATATGCTAATTAGGAAATAATAATAGCATTTTTTTCAGGTACAGTGCAGACCTTGCACAAAGTTAAATACAGCACTATAATTTCATCCCAACTATGTAAACTTTCTAGTTATGTTCTGATTAAAATAGAAAAAACAATACTATATATGAATTAATATAGCATTATGTATGTGTGCATATCTTGTAGATGTTTTGAAAGATCTGTAAGCATACTTTGTTTACTTGCAACTTGCCAAGATTTCCAGTTGGGAAAATTGCACTCATTAGAGTAACAACTCATAAGGCAACATCAGGGTCAGTATTGAGGTGAATCGTTTTACATCTCTGCCTGAAGAGTGCGAGCAGATAGGAAAAGTGGAGTTTGAAGTCTGAGTAGAAATTGAGTTTATCTGATGTCTTTTTTTATGCAAGGTCTCACTGTGTAGTGCAGGCTGGCCTCAAACTCAGTGATCTCCTGCCTCAGCTTCCCCAGTGATGGGATTACAGGTATACGCCACCATGGCTGGATGATGTAGTCTTTTCATTGCCTTTGATTTAGCTTAAATTCAAATTTGGATGTAATTAAAAGCATTTAAAAAAATAAACATCAAAGAATCAATAAATGAATAAGTTATAGTCACTCCAGTTTTAAAATGTGTAATCTATAAAGCACATATCTTACGATAGAGAATGGAGCATTTGTAGATTCATAAACTAGTGTTCTAATTACTGTTTAAGAATAATCAGAAAATAGCTAAAGCCTTCAGTATGGGTATTAGCGTGTGAAATTATTGTTATACCCGCCTTGTAGAAAACTTGAGAAATTCTATCATTTGTGCAAAGTGAGCATTGTACAAGTTGGTGAACAGATAGATCGTGACAGTAATGAAAACAGGTCACTTTTTATCAAATAAATCATTGATGTTTCTTATATAATGATAAAGATGTAGTTTTGAAGGTAGTGTGTTAGTAACGACTTTGCAGAGTAGGTAAGTAGAATCAGGAGGTAATGAAAGCTTTTCTCTCCTTTGCCTCCTGTCTTTGAGTTGACCATGATCTCTTTTGTCCCAACCTTCTAGATATTTTAAGAAGCAAAGGTTCCCAAGAATGGGAAGAAAACAGTGAGGCACCACAAAAAATAGAGACCTATAATCTGCAGCTAGGGTAGTTTATCCTGCAGATAATGTGCAGCTTGGATGACCTGATAAGAGTAGTGTTCAGTTCTTTCACCTATAAAACTAGAGCACAGACATTTTGAAACATTACCAATTATAGTTAGAAGGTAAACAAAATAATACTCTGAAAATTCTCTATAAATGATATGTCAAATACTTCAGGAGGAGGCAGGATAGGCATCATAAAAATGAAGCACTGTGCATGAGAGCTGATAACGCAGCATTAGCTGAGACCCAGTAACGCAGTACAAGGACAGAAGGAATGCTGGTGCGGTTGTTGGACTCGCGCACTTCCTTTCTGCCGCTGACTCCGAAGTGGAGCCCGGAGGTGGCGTCCTGAGGTGGCGTACAGTAAGGTGAACGGTACTGGATCGCTTGCGGCTGGGCAGTGTATCAGAGTCCAATGGTTTCCCTGTGAAGTAATGAAACTCCCTTATCCTAGGAACTGGAAAAGAGGGGTGATGGTGAAAAATCTGATGAGGAAAATGAAGAGAAAGAAGGAAGCAAAGAAAAAAGTAAAGAAGGCGATGATGACAATGATGACGACGATGCAGAACAGGAAGACTACGACGAGGAAGAGCAGGAAGAGGTAAAGGGCAGTTCGGGGAGCGGGCAGTTACCTTTCCGGTTCTCTAAGGAGGAGTCAGGTATGCAGTGGATAACGAAAATCCACAGGTCGAAATCAAGTTGGTAACCAGAAGTGTATTCCCATTACTGGTAGCAGTTCCTTGGTGTGAGGAGAACTATAGCGTTGAGATGCTGCAGAGGCCAAACTGAGCAGAGGAGCGAACAGGACAGACAACGTTGTGAGTAGAAGTCCACAAACTAAGGACTTTGGTCAGGGTAGTGCAGTTAAGATTTAACATGAGATTTTAAGTCGGCAGTTAAGGAGATGGAGGGCTTCACTGTGTAGGTCTAGAAGGGAACCTAACGCCATTGTGTTCACATTCTGAAGCATGTGTGGAACTGTCCACCTTGGTTGGGCCTGCCTAAGACTCCACGTTTTGGATTTGGGATTTCCAAGTTTTGTGAACAGGTGCATTTCAAAGCTGGATGCTTTGATGGGGGTACTTCGTTGCTCACAGCCTCGGAGGGATTTTGTAGGCACTTCACACAATAAGCCCAGGCTGGTGTTTCCCCTCCATCCTGGTGACCTTGATCTTTGCTTCGTTTTAGCTTCTTATACCACACTCTGAATCTTTTCTTCATCAGCGACTGCTCCAGCCATGATATCTTCATCGCACGCTTTAAGCACATATAATGAAAACGGTTTTGCAGTTGACTTTGTATTCTTTTGAAATGTATATTGATGTAAAGGGAAAGGTATGGATATATATTTCGTTTGCAACCTCATTTGTTAAACAGTTCGCTTTCCTCATTGATTGAAACTCTTATTAGCTATTCGGTTCGCATATCTACTTGGATGTGTTTCTCAACTCTGTTTCCATTGATCTGGGAAGCGCTACGCTGTTCCAGTTAGTAAGGGGAACTTCCGATTGTTTAATACTTCAAGGGCGTGTCTTCCTGCTGCTCTTCTTCAGAATTTTCTGAATATTCTGTGTATGCATCCTGATGCATTTTAAGTCGTGCATTCAACGTGTCTCGTTTGTCTCCATCTTCTCTCCAGAGCACTCTTTCGTTCCTATTTTGCTCTGCCACGATGGGATTGTGTCAGGGCCTTTGGTGCCTAGTTCCCCTTTATTGGTTCCTAGTCTTACTTTGCTTCCCTGAGGAGCTGAGATCCTCGCTCACCCTTCATCCTCTTTCTGTGGTGACTCTTCTCCTCAAAGTGTGGGGGTTTGGTTCAGTGTAGACAAGGACATTCTTCGATCAGAATGCATTAAGGGCACAATGATTTGTTTAAGCTTGAGTTTAAGATCCTCCTGTCTCAGCCTCTTGAGTGCTGGGATTATAGGCATGTCTTGAATTACATGTGGAAAAGGATAATCCTTTGATTATCCTTGCTAAAATGTTTGGTATCCTCCCATTAGTACAAAGGTTCTCACTGAATAAAAGGTGACTGAAATTGGTATTAAAGGCTGCAGTTCAAGAGGCTGTGAGCCCCCTGATCTCACTGAATAAAAGGTGACTGAAATTGGTATTAAAGGCTGCAGTTCGAGAGGAGGCTGTAAGCCCCCTGATCCCAGGCTTTTTGCCTCTCGTTTTTCTTGTCTGTTATTTTTCTTTTCATCCGCGGGCACCTCGTTCTTGGGACCTGACACACTGAATAGAACAACAGTGCAGAAATACTTTTTCTGAAGAGCCACAGATACTAAGGCAGCTAGAACAAACCCAGCCCTGTTTTGCTCACTAACATTTATTCTCTCTCTTGCGAAGCCAGCTCGCATGAGTTATTTCAGATCAGGTCACCTTTTTCTTCTTCGTCCCTGTCTTTACTACCTTTGCTTTCAGTCTTAGCAGGTGAACGCGGCTTCATACAAAAAATGATGCGTGGACAGCGAGCTCCCTGAATTTCATAGTCTCCATCTTCAGACTCTTCTCCTCTGTTCCTCTTTTTTATTGGTGGAAGAAATCCCTTCTTCCCATGTGGAGCTGATAATCCTGCCCTGTTTTGGGACTGTAATCTTCGGCTCATTTTCCTTTCCATAACGGTTAGTATCTTTTCCTGTCCGTCAGTTCTGTTTATAATGAAAACATGTTCATTTCCCGTTATATGTTCCCGCGTTCTCCCTTCAGCCCTCCTGCTGGCTGCTGAAAGCTGCTTGAGCGGTCATCGTTGGGTCACCCCTTCCGGATCTAGCTCTTTCCATCCTGATTCCCACCTCTCGCTATGCAAGTTACGGCTGCCAAGGTCCCCACAGAGGAGTTGGAGCCCTTACTCCACTTGCCCTTTCTTCAGCATTCAACACTTTTGAAAAACACTTCCGACTATTCCGTAATTAAAGTATTTGCTTTAGTTAAATCAGTCCGTTTAAGGCAGCTGTAGGCATCTGCTCTGCCGGGCGTTGTACAAGGTGCCAAGAGATAGACAGACACGCTCGCTTCCCTTTGTTCTTGGGAGGTAGTGCTTCTCATTTTCCTCCTGTTTCTTGGGTATTTTCTCCTTTCCTACTATCCTCAGTTCTTTGTGTTCTCCTTTGTAAATATCACGGTTCAGGGTTCAAGCCTTGGGCCTCTTTGCCCTCTTAAGTAATTTCCCGGATTGCTTGCATCCTTACATCAACTTGTGACTCCTCGTTGCTTTGTCGTTCAGCCTTTGGTAATTGTACTCTGAGTGCGCGCTTGGGATTGTGCGAGGCAGTGGAGACAGGAGGATGAGATTATTTGTGCCCTCCAGGAAATCATTCTAGTGGGAGGTAAACAAGAGAGGAAACATACAATACAGTGAGTGAGTAAAGCTGAGATGCTGTAGTACGGGGTGCAGTGGGGCACACAGAAGATACCACCCTGCTGTAGGGATGTCCGAGGACAGATCTCAAAGAAGACCGTTTGTGAGATGTAAAGGGTTAATCAGATTTAGATGAGAAAATAGATGGGAGGGAATGTAGCTAGAGGAAAACGCAAGGGGAAAGGCTCGCAGGTGTTCCGAGTGTGGCATGTTAGTGTAATTGACCGGGTCGATCAAGATGACTGGGCTGGGCCGGGGTGCATGTGGAAAGGTGAGCTGGAGATGAGCAGGATTGGGGTGTTCAGGGCCTTACATGCCAGGCGGAGACATTGGCCTTTCTCCTGAGTGCTGTGGGAGCCCTGAAGAGCTGCAAACACTGGAGTAGTGTGGTCACGTCTGTGATTGACAGAGCTCAGTTCGCATTGAAAGGAGCCGGAGAGTGGATCATATTTGCAGACCTGTTGCTGTCTACCAGTGCTTCTCAGCCAGTGGTGCCTTTGCCCTTCAGAAGATAGTTTGCGACGTCTGGAGACATTTTTGGTCGTCACACTGCCGCGTGGGTGGCGGTGCTACCGAGTTCTGGTGGCAGCGGCCAGTGTTCAGAAGGCTGTGTTGACAAAGTCCACAGGGCCTGAGTCTGGATATATCTCAGTATATTGAAATAAAGATCTCATCTCACATAACCAACAAACGTTGGGATTCTAATGTTTAGAACTCTGCATTAGACCTTAGGAAAGTACTGGGTAACACCGTGGGTTGAAACAAGAAGGTCTGTGTAACTACGTTTCATTTTAAAAACCTCTCCGCTGTAACAGGAATGGGGTGTGTTCTCAGCGTGAGACCCAGTGAGGCACGGGAAAGGGAGCGCTGATGGATTTGTTCCTTTTGCTCCTTTTAGCAGTTATTAATGAATAGAACATTGTGGTAATTAATTTGCCCAATGAATTGAGGATTTGATAAGCATTTTGAACCGTAAAATGGAGGAAATTATCTACATAATACTTCCATATTAAATCAAGGAAATATTTTTTCTTTTGAATATTATAATTCAAGAAAAAGCAGGAGCTCAAATGAGAGCCAAGAGCCCTTTAAGCTGTTAGCTTCAACAGAACCTGCTAGTTTCCATCTGTATCCAGATTATGCAGAATTAGCGCATTGAAGCAGGGAGCATATTTGGAGGAGGTGCTAGTGTTAAACACGTGTGGTGAATGTCTGGTTTGGGATACTAAGAACTCCCCTTCCTTCCCTTTCTCCTTTTATGTACAAACTGGCCGCCTTATGTTTCCACGTGTTGCAAGGCCTTGCACTCTGAACTGTGCCATCCCTCCCAGCACAGAAGCCCCAGACTTGGCTAGGTATTTAGACATCTGTGGATTTCATGGCATCAGAGAAGCCGGGGCAACTTTCTGGAGCTGGGAAAGGTCTAAACTAGTTGCAGAAAATCATACTATTTAGGGAAGACAAAGAAATGAGTATCTGAAGGACGTAAGTTACCTTTGTTTATATATATTTCTATGTAAGATCTATCATCTAGATAGTAAAAAGGAATGTATTCAGAAGAACAATGAAGCCGATTTCCATCGAGGTCTATTGAGAATGGTCTCTTTCTTACTATAGATAGTAGAGATGTGAAAATTTGTATTTAGTGTGGTAGATTTTGATCATGAATAAAAATTAAGTGGTTAGTAAAATAAACAACCGTGGACTTATACCCAGTTTTATGAATGGTCGTTTCATAACTCATTAAGCAGTCATTCATCCGTCTACCCATCCCTACCTCCCATACCCCTATATTATTGTAAAATAATAGACATTGTATCATTTCATCCACAAACATTTCAGTGTGGGTTGAAAAAATAAGGACTCTTTAACAACCTCCTACTATCACTATTAAACATAGTGACGTGTAATACTTAATATCGTATCACACTAGCGTTAGATTTTCTTAATCACTTGAAAAAACTTTTTAATCAGAATCCTAACACAGTCCACACTGCAGTCATAAACTAAGTAACTCTTTGTCCAGGTCCAAGATGGACTTTTGAATTTTTCATTTAAGACCACAGATACCTTCTGAGTCATTTGCACGGTAACAGTCCTGAGAACAGGGGTGTTCCCAGACGCTTATCTTAATGAATGGAAGCTGACCGCCCTGTGTACATGTGATATGGTGTCCTCTACACTTGTCCCCCTCGGAGGCCTTCTGTTGCTGGGAAGCCAGAGTCCCGGTGCTTACTGGGACGCGTCGTGACTTGGAGCCTCAGTGCTGGTGCAGTAATAAGCACAGGGAGGCCCGCGTGCCCGTGCATTTGGTGGAGCCCCTGTTTACTGGTTCAGGTCACTAGCCCACGCACCACCCCACTGAGGAGTTCTGCAGTGTGTTTATCATCCTGCCGAGGTGAGGGGGCAGCCCTTCACGTTCCCGTAGCTGCTTGCCACGTAGGAGGTGCCATTTTGAGGAAATTAGTATAGGTAGACACAGGTAAAAATTCGTACTTTTTCTTAAATAGACGAAAAACTTGGAAGCTGCTGTATTATTAAATTTGGCATTTATAAACAGAGAGAGAGAGCTTACAGTGTACTATTTTTGTTTGTTTGTTTGTTTGTTTGTTTTTTGGTTTTTCTCCGGTACCGGGAACCGAATTCACGACCTTGCACTTGCCAGGCAGGCGCTTTGCCGCTGAGCTAAATCCCCAGCCCCACAGTGTACTATTTAATAATAATGCTATTAATTCATTTTAACTAAGGAATGTACCATTTCACTTAGGAAAATGACTACATCAATTCATACTTCGAAGACGGAGATGATTTTGGTGCTGACAGCGACGACAACATGGATGAAGCAACCTATTAGCCATGAAATTTCTCAGGACAGTTTTCATAATTCACCTTCTGAGTATTTCGGCAAACTTGATTTGTTTTGTTTCTGATAAGGAATGAGTACCTGTTTTGTCTGTTTCACTGGACAAATACTTGTAGCAAAATATGTACAACTACTTTGAGTTTGTAGTTACCTTATAAACGAGTCTCTGTTCTGACATTCCTCCTGAGTACCTCTGCCACCCCTCTTATGTCTGCTAGTGGAGTTTTGAAAAACTTGTATTTGAATGTGCCTCAAGAGCTTTTGCATCTCCTAATCTATAGCTCCATACTTGAACACATCAGTTTTCTTTAACTGATCTTTTCTAAAGATTATTATGAGTCATAGTGGCTTTCTATAATGTACAAGTTGACAAGACAGCACATGGAGCACTTTAAAAACAAACTTGAAAATTATTTTTCCTTTTATGTGGAATGTACTGTACTACATTATGACTACAGAAACTTACCTGACCTCTCACAAACGCAAACTTAAGAGATTAAAAGTTTTGTGATCAAAAACACACACAGGGAAAGATGTCCACATGAGCGATACCAGTTTCACAGTCCACATCTCACTGTAAAGAGGTTTTCCTGTTCGATGAATATAATAGTTGGATTTGGGGCTACTTCAGACCATACAATATATGTGATCTCGCTGTAGTAAGTTGGATATCCTCAAATAGTTAAGTTTATGAAAAATTAGACTGCCCCACCTTGTTTACTGTTGGACTTCATAGCAGTGTGGAGTAAGTTCAGTTGTATCAGTTTCACAGGAGCAAACTCAGTGTGAGCTTGGTGAAGGGCAGAGGCCTGTGTGTTTCACGGGCCTCATGTGCTGTACAGTGGTTATATAATAACACAGAACGAACTCAGGTCATTTTGAAATTAAGATTAGTCCTTTTTTAATTTAAAAGCTAGCTCCCCTTCCATTTCATATTCTGGGGAGAAAATACCTAGAAACCTCAGCCTCCACTGAACTAAAAATGCCAAAGATTTTCAAGAAAATTCATATTATATATTTCAAAAACAACTTATTAATATTACACACCAAAATAAATATATTTTTCTCCTTGGGATGATATCACCCATCTGCCTGAGCACCAGAGCCCTAAATTCTGTTTCTACCTATATTAAATTCCACCTTGAAGCTGAACATGATTAAGTTTCTGTGCCTTAGTTGCTCCACTTGTAAAGAGTTTCCTATAAAAGTTTTTAAACACTAACCAGAATTTCACCTTACATACATTCTCTTTGCCTATTGAAATAACCAGGTCTTAAATTTGGTTCTTACCTTCTGATCAGGCACAGCTGTAACTGAAAACAGTTCTAAGACATGTTTTCCTAGTAAAATGTATTACTGTAATCAGATTTTTCCCTTGTTATTTGTAGGGAAAACTGGAAAAAATTTGTGTTGCGTGATTTCGCAATGTGACTCTCAGGAAAAAGATCACTTTCAATGGCAATACTTGCTCAAGTAATTCTAGATGGGTTGAAATCCCATCTAACTAGTTTAGTGCTGTGTTCATTTTATGTGACTTATTTAAAGTTTATCAAACTGTAAGGCTCTAAATTGAAACAGTCTTCAAGCTGCAATCCATTAAGAGTAAAAACTTCAAAAAAAAAAAAAAAAAGTAAAAACTTCACATGAAAGTTTCCAGGAATAATGGCGAAGTTGTCATTTGGGAATGATGATGTAGTTCCATTCTTATGGATCCCTGGTATCACAGTCAAGTACTACTGTTTAGTTCATAGGAATCTTGTCTCTACACTGTTTTCTTGGTTTATTACAAGTCTGTCTTAACTACTTGAATCAGGCAAATACACTGAAGATAATTAGTTCTTTTCCTAGATTTTGATCAGCCTTCACTGGGATAGTCTTGCAGATTGTAGGGCAGTCCCTCTGGGCAGGGATTTACCCTAGGAGGCCCCAGCTAGGTGTATTCTTTCCCCTTTTGGAAGATCTTTTTATAATTTTAAAGTATATAAATTGTGAGGACAGAATCTGCAGATTGTTTTATTTACTAGCATAAACCTTTTTTTCCTGGCTTAAGATCTGACACTGTGAAGTTACTCCATAGGGAAGTAAACAGTATTTTGCAGCGAGTGTCTTTAATATATAGAAAAGTACTTGTTGGTGAAGTATCTTTAAATTGTTAAAACTGGTTGCTATAATGCTTTTTTCTTTTGTATTTGTTTACACATTAAATTCTTCCAATATAAAATTGTGTCATATTGTTTACTGTTAAGAGGTTTTGCTTTTAATTTCTTGATACAGAAAGTGAGTTTGATAATAAAAATTTTATTTAGTGTTATTGAGCTGTGTTGCCTGCATTATATATACTGTTGAACAACAAAAGAAACTTCTAGGTATGGGATTAGGAGAAAAGTTGTGAGAACAAGAGAGATTTGCAGGCAGTATATTAGCATGATCTCTGGTTTCTTCAACTACCACAGAATGAAGAAATTCAGAATCTTGTTAATTTTCCTTTAGTCCCACGTGTACACTTCCCTGTATACAGTGTCAGTGGCTTTACTTTGTTTTTTGTTTTTTTTTTTTTTTCAGTGGCTTTACTTTGAAGATGGTTAGTCTCTGGAGCTAGCAAAAATTTCCTTCGTTAAAAAAAATTTAAATACAACTTCAAAATACTTTTGAAAATGGAAAAAACACAATTTACTCCATCAAATTAAAACCCCAAAGAGCTTCCTTGTTTCTGCTACTAATTTGTAAAAATTAATATTCTTGAAGGGCAAAGATTTTTTTATAATTGAAATTTATATATAGAACATTTCCTATGACTGATCCAGGACAGCATAAACTGTGGAAAGTGCCTTACCATATCTTTCTCTCCTAAGGAAAACCTCTCAGACCACTCAACTAGAATTTGTTTTATTTCATTTCACTTATGTCCTACCAATGATCCAAGGGAACAAACAGGAATCTGAACTTGTAAACTTCTGGCAACTTGTTCTATCTCATATGTCTGTATCAAATTAGAAAGTAGAGGGGGAACGGTTTGCTTTATTCAATTAAATTCACCAGCTTGCCACTTTAGATTGAATAATAAAATAGAAACTTTATTACATTTTCAGATCTTTTAAAATATGAAGGGCAAAACATTTTTTAAAAGTTTTACAGATACATGCTAACATAATATTCTAGTATTACATTTCCCAATTATACGAAACACATTATACAAAAGACTTAGTTTGCATACATGAAATTAAATAAAGCATTCAGATATTTCTATGATGTAACAGTGCAATATGCACATACTTAGAAGAAAAATACTGATTTCCTGAGCAACATTGTTGTAATTGAAAATAACAATGATTTCTGTCATAATGCACCATATTTAAGTATAGACTTAAGAATTCCACCTTGGGCTGGGGATGCGGATCAGTGGTAGAGCACTTGCCTACCATACAGCAGGCCCTGGGTTCAAGTCTCAGCACCACAGAGCAATTAAACACCTCCAACTTTGCCCTGTAACACTTTGATGGGATGGGTCTTTGCTTCATATTTTTAACACATCCTTCATATTTCCAACTAGAAGTAGATCTTTAAGAAAGAATCAATTATTAAATAGTGGTTCAATGAAAAGGACTTTTTAAGGCCGCTGAACAAGCAGGTAGAGTCCAGGCAAAAAGCTTTAAAAGTCAAGTCCTCTGAAGACAGTTGGACATGACACTAGGCTTCTAATTGTTCACGTGGCCAGCAGACCACGTTACAGTGAACAGCCAAAATGTTTCATTTAAATGGCCAATCTTTAGTTCAAAATTTAACCATGTCACTCGGACATTACAAAAAAAAACCCTAAAAACTATGAAATTTTTCTTCATTTACTACTACGAATTTCTAAGTGAACCACAGTACAATGATTCACAGTTCCATTACTTTAAATGCGCAGACAAACACAAATGTAAAGCCTCAAAATAAATTCAAATAAGGTCTTCAACACAAAATTCAGAATTATCAAACAGTACTTGTGCTTATATTATCTATACAACAATTTGCATTTGCTACAAATTTAATGTATATCAGTATTTTTAAAAAGCTAAAATTCTGAATTTCATGAAATATTTTAAGAAATTTTTAAAAACAAAGATTAAACTAATGCTCTATATAACCTGTATATAGAATTACATATAGTTCAAATTCTTTAAATATATATAATTGAAATACATAGAAAAAAGCAATTGCCTGATTGTGTATCATCAGGATATATGTTGTATTTCCTTCAAAAAGGATACTCTGCAAGACAGAAAAGAGTTTTAATAAGTACACAGGACCGTACTTGAATTGGACCCCTCCATCACAATTTCATTGTAAAACTAACAAAGGAATCAGTGAATTTAATTTCACCAGTTCGATGTGTAAGAGTATTCAGAGGACATCTGGCTTGTTCTGCCCTGAAGTAGTCTGCATGGTCTACTCTAAAGCTGGATTTTTCAGCAGGCTTAAAAACAATGTAAACTGGTCTAGTTAGCATTGAGCATAAATTAAAAGATCATTCCTCTTTCCAAGATGCCCAAGGCACACTAAAATAATTACAAAATACTCAGCTAAAAGACTTCCTGAAACAATTAATTCACTGCAACTTCCCTAAACACTTTTGGAAGAAAATGCAAGGCTCTGATATGTGCAAGCCTTTAGATGTTTGACTTACCTCTTTATGATGCTTTTTTCCTCAAAATATATAAAACCCTTACCCTAAATATTTATTCACACTACTACAGTTTCATCAAGATAGAAGTCTGAGATCTAAAATGACTGATCAAAAACATTAAAGACTGGGAAGCAATGTCCAGAAAATGCGGTGCTATTATATATCTGAAATGTTCAGAAAATGCGGTGCTATTATATATCTGAAATGTCCAGAAAATGCAGTGCCATTATATACCTGAAAGTGAATATTTTACACAAAATAACCAATCCAGACTCCACCAAATCTTGCTTCTATGGAATTATTTTAGTTACAGTTTAAAAAGATACTTTAACAAAAGTGAAAGGTGGAACTCAGTATGCAAATACATGTCAGCCACACTGTGGCTGCTGCACGGCAGATCTTAGAAGGTGGTGCCGCCATGCCCTTTCACCCAATCCGTACACCTCTGGCCAGTGTTCCCCAACCTGACATTAGAGTTGGGGGGGGGCGCGGGTCTTGGCTGGACATTTTCTCTGAAAAACGAGGTTAAGGGATCCACAAGTAAAGCATTCTTTCTCTGTTATTAGTAGAAAATGCCTCTTAACTCTTGTTTTTACTTAACGATTTTCTGCAACTGAAGGGAGGGTGGAATTTACATAGCTTATGCATCCAACTGGACCATCTGAAATTCTACTTCAATTCTAAAACTTGTATCAACTTACATAAAGCGTATTATAAGGCATTAAATGTAATTAAGGCATGTTACTATAGGTAACAGCAGTGACATCACAGTATGTAAGGAGTTGTATTTCTAAATAATGCTAATTTGTACTGTAACACTTCACCAACGAACTACAAAGTGCTTTCAAATATCAATTAAAAACAGAAGCAGAGGTGAGGTTAACGGATCTGTCTTAAAGCATTCTTTAAGAGAGAAAAAATTTTAGCTTTAACCTACTCCAGTGTTCTAGTGATCAAGTATCAAATTTTCAACTGTACCACATTATCTTGGTGGCTTAAAAATCTATTTCTTAGCCTCTTTCAGAATTAAACATGTTTCTGTTTCCTAGCATAGGTGCCAAATGTGTTTTCTAATGCAAGATTCAGAAAGGAATGTTAAGTACTGGCTATCAAATAATTTTAGAATCAAACATTTTTGCAACTAAGTAATTTGTTGGTTCACAGTAGTAAATTTTCTTCAGTTATAGACATCTGATACCATCATTCTGCTTCTGAAATGTAACATAACCTTAAAAAATAATTACTCAAAAGATCAAATTTAAACAGCTAGTCTTGAGTAAGAAAAATAACTCATCTTCCGACAACTTCCTAAACACACAGTTAAATTCCTTTTTTCCTTTAAGCACTGGTATAACAGACTTATTGATTGGGTGCTCTTTACTTGAACAACCAGCAACTGTAGGGATTTTATACATAATCCACTTATAAATGCTCAAAATTTTTAGGTAAAACAAAAAGCATCTTCAGTCACCTTACATTCTGCCTTTGCAGTGGTTCCTGAATATGAGTGAGTCACCACATGCCAGGTGCAGTGTGATGGGCTAACTACTACGTTTTGTGTGGAGCAGCAGCTGGCTGATAATCCCTATACAGTCTGCGGCCATCTTGGTGGCCAACATGGATTCCTTTGGTGGGAGCAACGCCATTTTGCATGTCTTTGTGCTGCAATGGGGGTGTAATTCCTGAATGCAAATGTGAAGAGTCCACCGTTGAATGGTGACTAACGTCCACTTTCGCTAAAATTTCATAGTACAGCAAATAAAATACTGGTGTTATTATACCTACTATCAACATTATCACTACAGCTGTCCACCACCCTATTCCCCAATCTGCTCCGTAATAGGGATCCTTACGTTTTGTGTTTTTGTTATCGGGTTCAAAACGGCTTTGTTGCGTGCTCAAGGCAGACACCACCTCATTCAGGTTCTCCTTCTTGCTGTCTGTACACTTGACTATTTGTTCTATGTCTCGATCCACTTCTTTTAAAAAGCTACCAGCTGACTCACTGGAAGACAGACAGTCATTTGCTGGCAGAATTTCCTGTTGTTCTGGAGCATAGTGAACAGGTGAGGGACGTGAAGCCTGTCTTACTTTTGGAGGATAAAGTGATTCAGTCAATGAGCTGAACTTTTTAACTGGAATTTTGATAGCTCTGAGGGCAAAAAAGTCTTGATCGCTGATGAGATTGTTAACTCTCTTGATATCTGCTACCTGTAAGAAAGAAAGATGCAATGTTCAACTGTATTCTAAATCAAACTGGAGGTAAAAATCAACATTCATCACACTTACTTTTGGAAGGAAAAATTCAGCTTAATTGTTAATATTAAATTACCATACTTAGAGATTAGAGTTTTGATTTACGAACCTCAGGAAATCGCCAACTCCTTTTTCTAATCACCCCTACGGTACTAGTAACACTAACGTTCACTATTTAAGTGGATTCCAGGACCCTGTGCTGCTTCCCTTTGTACTGCAGGCAGCAACACCACAGTCCGGCTGTGCTGGGCAGCAATGTGAAGGAAGGCTTAAGTTAGGATGCTCGTGGTCTTTATTCCAGCTGGCATACAAACCAGTACGAACCAATTAAAAGTCCCACTTTATCAAAACTAAGATGCCTTCAACTTAAGATGTATTATTATTTTACCTACTTCTAAGCGGGGAAAAAACCACCAAACATACTGAAGATGCCAATGTTCTAACTTCAAAGATGTTAAAATGTGTCAAAAAACATACCTTAAAATAAAATATAGTAATGTTCTCCTGTAGTTTGTCCTCTGAAGCCAGTTTTTTCCCCTGAACCCCTCAGTGTAAATTCATTATTCAACTACCTCCAGGATCAGCCACAGGTATGTCTTCCATGCGCCTCCACCTGTCTGTATCCTGTCACTGTGATGAGGCAAAGAGCAGTGCTTTCTCGATTAGCAATTACAGGGCAGGTTCTGTCACCACGCTAAAGTCACTCGTCCCATTGTCTTTCCCATCAATGGTTTAATCAACTCTAATTGTCAGAGAGGTAAAGTGAGTCTAGGAGGACACTCAGCTTTCTGATAGTTTGGTCAGCTCCCAGATGCTGCTGCCGTTCCCAATGAGGAACACTGTTGGGTCACGGGAGCACGCACATAGATTTCAGCCACATTGGCAGTGAGGTCCTCGAGATACAAAGTGGACGATGTCAGATCCTCCAGTTCACAAGCGAGGTCCTCACGCATTATGCTTTACTCGCATGAAAACCTTACCATGAGATAGGCTCCCCTATGATACAGTCCAACTGTCCTCTGGTTGTCTCAAAGTGCTTCATCCCGGTCTGCGCCACCCACTGCAGAACTGAGAATGAGCTGAGGATCAGGAGAAGGCGACAGAAAAGATCCCCGAGGAATGCCAACATTTGAGGGGTATGTTGAGTATGAAAATTCTACAAAGGAGATTTAAAGGGAGGCCGGGAAAGCAGTATTATACCACACTGACTGGGGAAAGCAGGAAAGCGGGGCTTGAAGCATGACTTGTAGTTTCTAGGAGTGTGGTTGGGGGCAAGTTGGTTAACCTCTCTGCCATTCAGGTTCCACACTGGCAAGAGGTCGGTAACAACACCACCTCGCTTATCCGGTCAGGGTGAACATTAATGAATTAAAATGTTTGCAGAGCACGTTACAACAGTGACCTGGTGCCATATACAGTATGCCATATAAACACGAGCTGTTACTGCATAGTAACAGGCAAATCAGAAAAGGGCGGCAGACAGGACATCAAGCGGAGAGATTTTAGGAGCAAGTGCTGAAGAGAAATCCAGTGTAGATTAGTGGCGAATGAAGAGCGGGATGCTGGAAAATTCTCTCACAGTGTCACGTGCGGAAGAGGAGACGGAGAGGGCTGAATATAGGGAGATGAGACAGTAAGGGTAAAGCTACTTGTCCTCTTACTACTCCGGAACTCTTGTTTTATATTTTTTATTTATTTTTTATTTTTTATTTTTTTTGGTTTTTTGGTTTTTCTCCGGTACGGGAACCGAACTCACAACCTTGCGCTTGCCAGGCAGGCGCTTTGCCGCTGAGCTCAGAACTCTTGTTTTAAAGTAATGAAGATTCACTGACAGTCCCCAAAGCTCAAACTCCTCTGTAAAGGTTCTTCTGCTTGGTATTGTATTCTTGCTAGTAATTACTCAGCACTCTCTGAACCAGGCTTTTAAGGGTTAGCTCCCACCTAGGTCATCTCTGAATGTTTTCTGTTTGCCAACTTCCTTGGTTACATGTGGGATTCCAACCTGCACTTTTATAATGGGCATATATTTAACAATTCTTAAGACTATAGGTGGAGTACAGCACTATTTACTGTACTGTGTTTTTAAAATGACGACAAACCCTTTTGTAAGGTTACTCATCCACTGTTAACTGACCTCCCATCAAAAGGGAGCCTGTGCCTCTTAATCCCCTATTTCTGTTGCAGCAACTTTCCCATCTCCTGTACTCAGCAAACCAGTTCTCATCATTCTTCCTTTCAGGTGATGAATCAGCTCGTGTAGCCTGTCATTTTCCCCAAGTAAATTTTCCATCAGCTTCTGCTCGCTCACGTGTATTCTAGGGTAGTCCTCACCATCTTCATTTGCATCAATCTCTTGATCCCCTCCAAATCCCAAGCAAGGTCCTCCATGGTGGTTTCCCCCGTGTTAAACCTCACGATGAGGTTCTCCTGTTACATGGAGCAAGCGCCTCACCGCACATCAGTCTGTGCCACCCATTTTGGAAACACTATTAAACTCTCTACTGTTTGCCATTTTCCTCCTTGAAATCTCCACACGACTGTCACATGCCCGAAACACTTGCTCTACTTCACTGGACTTACAGCCTATTTTTAACCACTAACACAGCACTTCAAATTTCCCTCCTAAGAGTATTTGCCCGGTGCATTAAAAGGAGGCTATGTCATACTCTAATAAAGCTACTGCACCTCCCTCTTAGATCTCTGCCTTGTTTCTGGCCTTGCCTCTCTGACCTCAGACACATTCAGCAATTTATTTCTCAGTGAGCTCATATTTTTAAAAACACATATTCACGTGTATTTGCACTAAAATTTGAAATTAGGTATTTGCTAATTTAGTAGAACAGGAATGACGCTGCCATACGTAAGCACCTTTGGGAACAAGAAGAATGACCTGGCTCATCTGATCTCATCTCGTCACTAAAACATTTCAGTAGATTTTAAAATCCAAATCTGTAATATATTTGTTTTGATAAATTGTGAATAACTGCAATAATTACCCAGAAAAGATACATAGAATCTTACAGCCATAGGAAGATTTTTTTTTAATTTGATTTAAATTGATACAAACACAAACAGCTAATAAAAAATTAGAAATGTTATGTGTTCCTATTGCATAGTCGTATGAGTAGTAAGTAAGAGGTTTTCAAGT